TGCAACGCGTACCCCCACCAAACTCTTCCCGTACCCCTGGGGGTACGTGTACCACACTTTGGGAAACACTGGTATATATCATGGAACACAGCGAAGTCACCAACAAATTGAAAAAAATGGCACCATCCATTACCAAGAAATTGATCTCTCTCTAAAATTGATGGAAAAACAAGAATACTGGTCCAAAAAACTGCCATGAGGCATACGGCAATATTAAAGAAGCTGCAGGAATTTCTGGCAAGTACTAATTGTGTATTACATGTGATAACAATCTCCCATATTCTTCATATGGTCAGAGTTCTTGGATAGGTACAGGATGGAAAGACAGAAGCCTTTCCTCACAACCAAAAACATACAAGCTCAGATATATTTTGCAAAAACCTACACAAGTCTGACAAAAACATGTGGGAAAATATATTATGGTCTAATGAGACCAAAGCTGAACGTTTTCATTATAATTCCAAAAAATATGTTTAATTCAAAAAAAAAACCCCACTGCACATCACCAGAAATACACCATATCCACAGTGAAGCATATTGGTGGCAGCACTATGCTTTGGGACAGCTTTTCTTTAGCTGGAACTGGGGCTTTAGTCCAGGCAAAGGGAATTAATAACAGTTCCACATATAAGTCAATTTTGGCACAATATTTTCAGGCTGCTGTTAAAATGCCAAAGATGAAGAGGAATTTTACATTTCAATACAACAACGACACAAATCAACAAGAGAATTTTGGAATGGCCCAGCCAGAGTTCATACCGAAATCCAATTAAAAATCTCTGGGGTGAGTTGGAGAAGGCTATGCACAGGAGAAGCCCTTGAAATCTGATAGATTTGGAGCACTTTTACAAGGAAAAATTGGCAAAGATTCCCAGGGCCAGATATGCCATGCCATCCTACACCTCCCCCTCCTCCCCCCAAAAAGACTAAAATATTTATTTCCAAATTCAATTGTACAGTTTATATGTTTATTATTATAGATGGAAAAATTATGAAAGTATTTATCTTGGTCTGATTTTTTTACATCTCAGTGTATAGACTTTTTTTTTTCAATTATATGATCTCATAACTGTTATTAATAATATGTATTTATAACAATGTTTCCCTACNCTGCTCTGAAGCAGTGGTAGGCATCCTGCAGGCAGATCCAACAGCTGGTGGTGTGGCAGAGTTAGAAACCAAGGGAGGAATGCATCCTTGCCGGGACTCACAGCCCAAGCACGCTGGAGAGAGGAAAAGCCCAGCCACGTGGTCCTGGCAGCCTCCAAAGCCTTGTGGTCGCTCATCAACTCACTGGTACTGCTGCTGAGTGGAGGCTGTGCGGCAAGCCGTCAGAGAGGTGGGAGGACCAGAGGAATGGCCACGTGGTGGCCAAAGCAATGCTGCTGCCAGGAAACTGCTTTTTAAAAGCGTGGATGGCGGCGGTGCCGCTGGCACCCACGCACCACCTGGGAGTGGTCCTCCCCAGGAGCCTAGCAGCGCTGACCAGCGGCACCAAGAAAGCGTGTGAAGCAGAGGCTCCTGATTGGTCGCCACGTGCTGAGGGAGGCGTTCCAAGATGGCGGACGCAGCCATGTCAACTGCAAGAGGAAAACAAAAAACCTCCAAGCCAGTCCTTTTAGAAACTTTCAAGCCGGGAGAGCTGTTTGCGGTGTGAGACCCCCACAGTTCTTCCCAGCCTGTGAAGCCTCTGCGCTTAAGGCACAGAGGCAAGCACTCCCCTTGCTAGCTCGCTCCTCTCCCTCTCTTACCTCTCGACGATCATCACACAAAGAGAGAAAAGGGAAAGAATAATTTTAAAAAAATACACAACAAATGGGGGCAAAATAAAAGAAAAAATAAAAGAAAATAAATCTTCTAAATTAGAGAGTCCAAGCTGAATTAATTAAAAAAACAGCTAGAGCTCAGTTAAATTAGTCCTGATGGGCAGACTGAGTTAAAAATCTGGTCTTAACAAGGAGCAGAAGGCGTAGCCGAAGAGTCTGAACTCAGTCTTTGCGCAATTTAACCATGCTTGGACTCTCAAGCAGTGCACAGGAAAAAGGAAGCTTGATAGTTCACAGGATTAATGCTATTTGGAATATTAGTCACGGATAAAAAACAAAACTATCTTGTAAATAACACTGAAAATGAAGTGAGATACTGAATACACACACAGCTCTTGCATATATACATTCACAGACCAAGAGAAATAATGGAGAATTCTCTCTGAATATTCCATATTCAACAGCCAATTAATCAGTATAGTATTAATAATCAATTAATCAATATAGTATAGAAACCTCTTAACTATATTTCTAAAGTTAACAATGTGTCCATTCACGCAAAGAGATTTAATATGTTCCATATTAAATTTAATTTGCTAAAGGAAGTATTTTTAAACAAAAATGATGCAAGCAAAATACATATGAGGTAGCCATGGAAAACCCATAAAAACTATTTCGAAGGCTTCTGAGGCTTTCCAGCTATGAATACCCAGTTTTAATGTTAATTATAAGCTACTTTCATTATGCAGCTATTGGAAGATATAGATAATATGATCTGCAAAAAAACTAAATTCACTGATTAGAACTTCTTTTCCTAAATGTAATAATGTCTAGATGCTTTAAGATGGCAATTCCCAGAATTCCCAGCTAGCAGATCTAACAAAATTAAAGAATGCAAGGGTAAAAGGTTAGCTCAGAAATTCAAGAGGGCGGTTTCCTTTCACACTACCAGATTACTTACTTGTACATTTAAAGGTGCTGTCATCTGCAGTGCCCCCAGGTTTGCTCCCGCATAATATGGAATCATTAGATATACTATAGGATGAAGCTTAAATAAAAACAAAAGCATTATGTGCAGGAACAGAAAACATCAAATATCATGCCACTGAAATACTTTCCTATTTGTAACAGATTAACAGAGTTGGAAGGGACCTTGTAGGTCATCTAGTCCTTATATCCTCTATATAAGTTTAAGGAGTCCTATCTTAAAGCAGGGAAAGTACCTTCTATGATGACATCTTTGAAATTTTTACACAGAAATAACTAAGAAAAAATACACTTCGATGTACAATTTACCTTGCATAAAAACAGGAACATTGGTTGCATTAAACAAGATTTCTCCCTTAATTCTTTCCAAACTTTATGATATTTTGCTGCTCTTTCCATTATTTTGGTTTCAATATTCATATCCATAATATATCCCTGAAAAGGTAAATTCAGGTGGGTAAAAAGCTGTTTCATGAGATTATTAAACTAATTTCCCAGAATATGAAAAAGGTAACTATTTCTGCCGAATATTTTTATTTTCTGAATTAATCAATGGAATATTTACTCTTGTGAATAATAAAAGCACATATTCTAGCCCAAATGAAAATAATTGCATCCTAATAACGCTGTGTTTCTCACTTTCAGAACAATGACAATTAGAATAGGAAAGGAGTTATATTTGGCAACAACTGTAGTGTATAATCTACATAAATGTGTAATTTCTAGCTGGGTTGGGTTCCGCCCAGCTTTACTACTGGTTTGCTTGTCTGTGTGCTTTGTGCACAGTGTGCGCTTTGCGTGCTAGATGCACACATGCACAATTCAATTAAACTTGTTCTGTGCATGCGTAGAACTTAAAACAAGATGGCGGTGCCAATGGCGCCGATCAGAGAACCAGTTTGGAGGCATGGCAGACTTGGGTGCTGCCGGTTCCAGGAACCCATGCCACCATACCACTACTGGTTTGGCCGAACCAGTAGGAACCCACCTCTGATTTCTAGGTAGTTATCAAAAGACACATATCATCTTCTCTATCCTAAGCTCTATCTAATTTCACCAAGATTAGGATGCGTGTCACCTTTCACATGTTTCTGAATTCCTGTCAAGTCAATAAACAGGAATGATGACTGCTAATATTGGCACAGCGAGAATAGGAATAAGCCTTATCGCCATTTCAAGTTGCCATAATAATTAGCTTGTTTAAATGTCAGAAATCTCAGCCAGCCTGGTCTCTGAAAAATGGATTCAAATTGCTGATTTCTCCATATTCAAAGGGCAAAACCAGATAATTCCATTAACTACCAAATAACTTGAAACTACAGTGTATTAAAAAAAACATCTACACACCCGTTTAAATGCCAGGATTTTGAGATGTAAAACTCAGACCAACATAAATCACTTCAGAATTTTTTCACCTTAAATATACAAGTAGTGCTTGATTTACAACCACAGTTGAGCCCATAATTTCTGTTGCAAAGTTAGACATTTGTTAAATGAATTTTGCCCCACTTAACAAACTTTCTTGCCACAGTTGTTAAGTGAATCACTGCATGACCCGTCAAAACCACGGAGGACAAAATCACGATTGATGAAAGCGCGCATGTGACGTCATCACAGCGTGACGAAAAAAATTAAAAATTGAAATAAAATTAAAATTAAAGCAAGCC